TTTTTTCTTTTTCTATTTTGACAAGTGAAGGTTTATTATAGCATTTCTTTGATGTTTTGCTTCCTTTTTGGGGTACAAAATAATATATATTATGATTCCTTTTCGGGGTACAAAATAATATATATCATGTTTACTTTGATCAGTATAAGACACTACAAGCAGTTCGACATCTGTTAGAGTTCCTGATCTTATTGAAAAATCAATCGACCGATTCCTAAGAGATTGCTCGTATACTCTTTTCTTTATCATCGACTTTGTGAATGATTTGAAGCTTTTTTACAGGTTTCGTCTCAGAACAATTCATCTTCACTATATAATTCCTGTAATTGGTCTTCTCTGGAGAATTTAATCAGCATAACCCTTCTGACCAATCTTCTGCCATTGTTGTCGTTAGCATTCAGTTTCGATCTTTGCTGATTTTGGCTCAGTATTTCCGGGAAATAAAAGCTTGACTTCTCCCAAATTGATAGGTCAAAGTTGGTAGGCTACTTATTTAAAATTGGGGGATCTTAAGGTTCCGATGAAAAGTTTGCTGGTAATCGATGAATTGACTTGATATGGGTAGGAGTTGGCATTGGAGGCCAAATAACGAAATCAAATATTGCTCAAGGGCCTAAAACTACTGAGTTGCTGGTATTATCAGTTAGGTGGACAGGACATTTAGGAAGCAAGGACATTTCAAAGTAAAACACATAACTGTTTTGAGATGACATTAGTGGAGTTTCAACTGGCTCTCACACCATAGCGACCCACCAGTTGGAAATACGAATAGTAGTTGTGAGTTGCGTCTGGAACTCGTGACCACCTACACCATTCGCAACCATAGGCAGCTGGTAATCGCTATGGCGAGAGGGCATATAAGATTCTTTATTCTTCATACTATAAAATGTAACGTAAAACTTCATTTCATTTCCTTCTTATCCTCTCCTCTCACTGTGTTCAAATTTCTATCGCTGTATCGTGATTTATGTATTTGCCTTCATTCAAGATAGGTATTACAAGGTTCATGTGTTATCTAAATATTCTAACAACTTTACCTCTGCTATACTTTATTGTCAGACCCGACCTTTTTACATATTTTTATTTACATTGGAGATCAAAAATAAGACTTTCTTTGTTTCAATATTTTATGGCTCAAATCTGATATCTTATATCCCGAGTTTAAGATTACCCATCTTGACAGTTTAACCCCGCTTGTTTGCTTTTATTCAAGCAAAATTGTCAACTATATCAAAAGGAAATTCAAAATACAAACCGTGCGAACCAGTCATTGTAAGACTCGTAACGTTGATGTCACGCACTATGTGGAAAATGCAGGTGTATGATCCAAGATCAAAGGAAAGGGCTTCAGGTGCGCGTGAGATGTACATATGATATACGTACTTGACAAGGGGAATGTGAGCGGTTTTTGTTCAAAGATCGAATATTAAAACGAGCGTGATGGTGACTTTGAAGCTTTGATTGACATTTGCAATATGAGATATTTATGTATTCATATGACTGGATCAAAACATGCAAATATTTACTTCACTTACTCAATATTGACATGTAATGTATGTCCGTTTATTCATAGATGCAATATCCTTAGTTTGCATGACCCTTACTCGTAGAAGTTGTAGCTTTTAAGACCAATGTCCTCGGTGAAAGGTGGAAATAGACGATCTACGGTTTGTGGTTCGGGATTATTGATACAGTACAAAGTAAAAGAATACAATGCGATTTCGCTTTGCGTAATTTTTACGGTATTGTTCATTCAACACCAGACGTTGGAACTCTCCTATTCGCAGCTTAAGAAGACTTCTCACGAAAATCTTAAGACTCGAAACCGAATAATGCTGATTTTTGAAATAAAAATCTTTAATCTCATTTTATTTTAATTGATGCATATTTATGGCATTTATCCATATATCAGATGAATGCCTTTGCATAAATTTCCGAGGGTCAGTGAATCCATTATTCACAATCTTAATTTGTTTAAAATATTCAATATACTTGTGAACGTAGCCCACTGGTTTAAGATGAATTTTCGTGTGGGAATGCGTCCAATACTAGTTAAATGTAGAAATGGTTTGAATATGCAATTACATTTTATCTGCAACAACAAAAAAGAAGTTTGAATTTTCGAAAAAGCACGTACTGAATTTACAGGCGTACTAGTTTTAAAACTCTTAACGTTGAAAAGGCAGGTGTGCCAAACTTTAAGAATAGCAAACGTAAACATGTTTTAAAAACTTTTATTTAAAATGTTGTCTTTGTATTCTTCCGGAAATGTCAAAAAACCTTCGACACATTCTAAAATGCAACCTAGAAAATTGGAAAGAACCTAACAATGCCATAAGTGACAAGACTGTCTACAATTTGACAAGTTTGGAGCCGTCATATAATGTGACGTTTCACCTTTTTTCAATATCTCAATGCGTGCTGGGTGGGTGAATATTATAGCAACCATTGTGATTTGGCGTGAATTGGGATTTACGAGTTTGGGTAAATCGTCACTTCAAAAGAAATTCGGCCTGATTTAGTGGGAAGGTATTAAGGTGTCATATTTATTTCAATAAACCTATCACTTTCTAATTCCCTTCTCTCTATTAGAAAGCACTTGAAAAGAAATAACTCAACGCGAGTGAATATATTAGATATTGTTAAGGGTAATTTTTATTGATAATGGACCCTCGAATCATCTATGTAGCTCTATAGTCAACCCCTTTTACAAAATCTCAACGATATCAGCATGTTTATTTCGAGGTGGTGTTTAAAACCCTCACTTAACTATTTGTACCGAAGGCTTTGTAGTTGTTATACCATAAAATGCAACTGCTTAGTTGTACATTAGGGATACTAGTAGGACAGTTCAGGGTTAGAACTTATAGAATGAGTGAAATGCCATTGTAAAACAGGTCTGTCAGTACAACTACAAGATAGTGTTCTGGATAACAGAATAGATGTTCCTCAGTAAAAACCGGTGTTCTAAATAACAAAACATATCTTCCTCAGTACAAGCCAGTGTTCTGGATACCAGGATAGATGTCCCTTAGTAAAAACCAGTGTTCTAAATAACAAAACAGATCTTCTTCAGTGCAAGAGAATGTTCTTGATAACAGGACAGATCTTCCCCAATACAAGAGGGTGCTTTTGATAACAGAACATATCTTCCCCAATACAAGACAGAGTGCTAAATATTAGAACAGATCTTCCTCAGCACAAGAAAGTGTTCTTGATAACAGAACAGATCTTCCTCAATACAAGGGAGTATTCTTGATAACAGGACAGATCTTCCGCGGTACAAGAGAGTGTTCGGAATATCATAACAGATCTTCCTCAGCACAAGAAAGTGTTCTTAATAACAGAACAGATCTTCCTCAATACAACGGAGTATTCTTGATAACAGGACAGATCTTCCGCGGTACAAGAGAGTGTTCGGAATAACAGAACAGATCGTCCTCAATACAAGAGAATGTTCTTGATAACAGGACAGATCTTCAGCGGTACAAAAGAGTGTTCGGAATAACAGAACAGATCTTCCTCAGTACAAGAAAGTGTTCTTGATAACAGAACAGATTTTCCTCAATACAAGAGAGTGTTCTTGATAACAGAACAGATCTTCCTCAACAATACAGTAGAGTGTTGGGAATAATAGAACAGAGCTTCCTTCTTTGAAACTCTATTTTAGTTCAACTATAATAAATACTGTAGTGGGTGCAGCTAAGGATGTTCTTACATTTGGAACATCTTAGGCCACTCCTCCACCGGGTTTGTCAACTCGACATCCTTTCGGAGATCTATTCATGTAAATATGAAATCGTTCATTATGCATCATATACCTTACGAAGCTAAATCGCAGATGCTACAAAAGCCAAACCCTATACAGTGACTCGTAATAATTTAATATAATTTGAAATTCAATCTAAAGACATTCGTGAGTGTGGATTAAGGAAAAAAAATGCACATTTATGGAATTGTATTGGGCTCAAATTGACATTTACACCTCGTACCTCAGTTAAATAAGACTATTAGTTTCACTTACTCAAATGAACTTAACGACTTTAACATATTCAAAAGAATAATTACGAAAGTTGTCTTTTTTTTTAAATTAGTCACCGTACTGAATAGATTGATTTTGTCAAGAAGCACGCTTCATTAAGGATATTGGATAGGTATTTCACGTGCAGTATATCGTAATTCAATGATAATTTTCAATGGTATACATTATTTGAAGGGGTTGGAATGTGTTAAAATAAAAAAAATATGTGAAATAGATATACCCATTTATTATTTAATAATAGTGGTATATAATGTAATGTTATTTCAATTTATTTATAAATAGTCCCGAACTTTCTAAGAATGTTAAAAGGGCATTAGGAAATAACATAATATAATACGTACAGTAATTTTGAATGGTTTCAAATTATCTATACTTTCTAATATTGTGAACGCCTTTATACATTAATTGATAATGGCAAATTTTCTTCTTTGCGACAGACTAATTTTTTATATTTCGTAGTATTAAAGTCTCATTTAATTACGAAACACTTCATTTTTAAGTTCGTGTTGAATTGACTAAGAGGCAAGCCCAATATTCCCATTAACATGATTATTAAGTATATCGAAATTGCAATTGCAATCTGTTTGGTTTTGATAATAATAAAATTTGGATGACGATTTTTTATAATGGGGTTCTTCATTGACAATCTTATATCGAAAGTAATATCTAACCAATTGCAATATGTTTGGTTTTGATAATATTTGACTATTCCTTAGTTTTGTACAGATAACAAAAAAATATAGTTTGGAAGACGATTTCATATAATGGGTTCTTCATTGACCATCTTATATCGAAAATAATACAATCTAAGCAGTATGTTTGTTCTTGACAATTTTGAAATAGGCTTTAGTTTTATACAGATAAGAAAAATATAAGCCTTGTAAGACATTTAGAAGTTGGAAGACAATTTGATATCATGTGGTTCTACGTAACAATCTTTTTTTTTTTCTTTTTTCAGGCTGTCTACAATTTCGCTAAAGTTGCCTGTAAATGTCATGGTGTTTCCGGTTCCTGTTCACTGAAAACATGTTGGCAACACTTACCCAACTTCCGGGAGATCGGCAATCGATTAAAAGATCGATATGATGCGTCAACTGAAGTGAAATTTAACAAACGTGGAACAAAGTTAACACGCAAAGTGAAGAAATGGAACAAATATACTAAAAACGATATTATATTTTTAGACGACTCTCCCGATTACTGTGATAAGAACGCGGAGACAGGGTCGGTGGGGACTGCGGGGCGGGAATGTGACCGAAATTCCCAGGGACTTGGTGGTTGTGGCTTGTTGTGCTGTGGAAGAGGGTATAATACATTCAAAAGAAAACTTATAGAAAGATGTAATTGTAAATTTCATTGGTGTTGTTTTGTTCGCTGTGGTTCGTGTGAACGTTACGTAGATGTTCACATTTGTCGATAATATGAAAACAATGCGTATTTTAAAAATACATTAGAACGGTTTGTTGGTAGATCTAAACGTCCTTATATGAAGGGGTAGCAAACCCTTCACAGTGATTCAACTGAGCATATCAACAAAGCGTTCACAGAGAAAAGACGGACCACAGATGTACAAGGACATGGTTCATCTAGAAAAAATGTAGACGTAGTTACGTTTAGGATAATTTACAATACTCTGTGTTAAAGCAACGAAGGAAGAAGGGTCAGTATGAAAGGAACAAAGCACTTAGATGCAAAGAGATGTACATGAAAACTATACATTATTTAAACTGATAGAAGAATGTGGACTTCTGACTGAAATAGATATAAATGTGAATTAATGCGAAATTATATGCGAAAACTACAGCACAGTGGCTGTAGAGATTCAGTATGCGATGAAAATGCATGGACTTATTGATGGGGTGAAAGCATTATGCGGAAAGAGTCGTTACTTTTTATGATTTAAATTAGACAATGCTTAAGAGATATTATAGTGTATATGATCACCAAGAAGTAATTTAAATGTTGCTATCGTCTGAAATTGGTCGTTGCCTAACGTTAACTGGCGATGCAAAATCATAAATAATTTCGATTGGTGATTGAGCCCAAGTGTCGTTGATTCTTTATGTATTTATTGAAGAGGGCGACGCGCATGTCAAAATTATGTTATTATTATTATTATTATGATAATTATTATTGTATATATTTGTATGTTAATATTAATTGTCAGGATATTTATTTGTTGTAATATATTATTTCTAAAGAAGAAAATTTTGATCGACAGCACAATACAATCTTCATTATTTTGTAGACTGTTGTGACGTGTGCAGGCAATTTTTTTTTTATTTTGTATCTCAGGTAGCTCCATATTATAAATCTATTAATAGAAACCACATGTTTTGTGTACACGTCATGTCGATATTCTGTGACGTATTCAATTATTGTGAGGTACGTCATTGAAATTTACTGGTGTTATAGTTTTTTTTTTTGTACATCATCACAATATTCATAATAATATAGTCTGTTTATTTGAAATCAGTTCTGCATAAATGGAATTCAACCATAATAAAATGTCAAAAACGTTGAACCTGTGTTTTTCCTTTCCGTTGATTATTTTCGATTTACAAGTTTTGTATCGATGAATGTTCTATTTATTGTTTATATGCCAATATTTCTATCATTACTATGTAGTACAAATTCTAAAAACTACCAGTGGGCGGAGTTTATATCTCTAATAAAACATTGTATGTGTTCTTCAATTCCCGAAGAAGAACAATGATTCATGTGCTGCTACATGCCTCAATTAATTAGATCAATTTCGATTTTAAAAGAGATTTATACGGCGGGTACGAAAAATAAACGCGTTGCTTCTTTTTCGAAAATAAAGGGAGACAACACTTGCATACATTAAAATATGTATCACATAAGGCTACAAATAAATGACACATCTTTGTGGATGACAATAATAGCCCCATACTGTCTCTTTAAATTTGTCAGCAATATTGTTTTAAACTGTTGTAACAACATCCTGTCGACCTCTTTGATGTATTGCATCAGATCTATTGTAAGAACTACTGAGTTCTGTTTAGGTTGAAGTACATGATTTAACTTATTCAGGTCAGTTACAGACAGTGCACTGGAGAGACAACATGATTTCAGCACTGCTTTGGTGTCCTGGATAAGTGTCCGGTCGGGAGATGGCAACTCAGAATTGGTGTATGTCATAAGGTCATACTATTCATTGATCGTCCGTATCAGTGATTGGCTTAGGACGAATTGACAGAAGGGAAGAGTCTGCTCGATTAACAATGCGACGATTATACTGTGGTACTCTCGTCTATGTCAGCTTTTACAATAAAGTAGTTATTACTTTCCATGTTGTTTTCTTAGAGTAAAGAGACGCTAATGCCCTTGAAAGAAGTACAATTAACGGTTATACCAAATTAAATGCTCGTCACACCTTTTATTTGAAAAGACGCAAAATATAATATTTTACTACATTTTATGCAACAATCAAAAAGAGTGTCATAGAGGCAATATAATATATTTTTTTTTTCGAAGTATTGTCGGCAAGGCTTGTTTGTGTAGAAGGGGAACTAACTACAAAACATAGGCCTTCCATTGAAGTAACATAGAACTCAGACCACAAAAATTGTGATTCTTTGAGAAAGTTCACGTTTTCATTGACACAAAAAAGCAAATTCAAAAAACTCAAAATTAAACAATACCTACGTAGATTAGTTGTTAATCCTTTTGATATCTTAAAAGTATTAATTTATCCCTTGCAGAAACTCTGTATTTTATCCAACAACTTTATGGTCTTTTGGAAGGAACGGAAGCAGAGATCCAATATGTACGCCATGATCGCTCAATGGTTGGAAATGGAAAAAGAGTCAACGAATCTGAGAGGAAAATAGATAAATTCTGCTGTGCTGACACAATTTCCCTAAGTGCACATCGATGCCTGCCTTAAAGTGATACTATGTCTTAGAATGAACATAAAATTGAAGTTCTCAAGAATGGTCAATATGAGTATATAATATTCATCAGTGAACTTACCTGGTGTCATAAAGTTACAACAGAATCCCTGTAAAATCTAGAAAATTCATAAAACTAGGTAATTATTGAGAAACGCTTTATCAAAAATTTCAGCGTTTTTCAATAGTTAATTTCATATTTATAGATAATTGCTAAGCTTTTTGGATTATAATAGGATTCTGTTATGTTATTTATGACACCAGGTATATCTACTGATGAATATATGCTCTTATTGGCCATGTTTAAACTTCTTAAATTTTATGTTTATTCTAAGACGTTGTATTCCTGTAAGAAGAATTAAGGTGTCAAAATATCCAATTATTCCTCAAATTATCGTTAAAATACTCTGGCAGTGTGTGCCGATTATATCATAGGTTAATATTATGGTAAAGTTTAAACTAAATGTTATGGTAACAACTTGTACAAATTTTGTTTTCGTGTTTGCGCATAATTCGTCTTTAAGAACCTTTTTCAAAGCATCCCAGGATAATCCGTGATATGGCTAAACAGCAGATTCACAGTTTACGCAAGCTCACAGTTTCTTCTTGTTGGGTTATAGGATTCTGCGTTGTTGGATGCTGTGCCGTAGAGTCCTGTGTAATAGGATACTGTGTTGCAGGATATTATGTTGTAGAATGCTGCGTCGTAGGATAGCGTGTCTTAGGATACTGTGTTGCAGGATACTGTGTTGTTGTGTACCAAGTTGTAGGATGGTGTGTCTCGGTATACTGTGTTGCAGGACACTGTGTTGTTGTGTACCAAGTTGTAGGATGCTGTGTTCCGGTATACTGTGTTGCAGGGTACCAAGTTGTAGGATGCTGTGTTCCGGTATACTGTGTTGTTGGGTACCAAGTTGTAGGATGGTATGTCTCGGTATACTGTGTTGTTGGGTACCAAGTTGTAGGATGCTGTGTTCCGGTATACTGTGTTGCAGGATACTGTGTTGTTAGGTACCAAGTTGTAGGATGCTGTGTTCCGGTATACTGTGTTGCAGGGTACCAAGTTGTAAGATGCTGTGTCTCGGGATACTGTGTTGCTGAATACTGTGTTGTTGGGTTCAAGGTTGTAGGAAGCTGTGTCTCGGGCTAGTGTGTTGTTGGATAATACTCTATTGTAGGATGCTGCGACGTAGGATGGTGTGTTGATGGATATTAAGGTGTAGGATACTGTGTCGTTGGAAACTGAGTAGGATCGTGTGTTGAGGGTGTATCGGTTGTTGCTTCAACAACAGCTTGTACCATATTAAATGTTTTGGTACCAAACGAGTGAGTATATGCATCTGAACTAGTATATTCCCGGTCGTAAAGATAACAAGAACTTCTTTTAGCATTGTAACCAAAACTGAAAACGTATTTTGTTCGCGAGGCGACAACTGCACACTGAATTATATCAAATGATGGCAAAAAAGCGTCGCCAAAATGTTTATCATCTAAATCCGCCTTATACCACAAAGTAGAAACAAAATCTCCATCACAAATCCCAGATGAAATCACAACGCAGATGTATATCATATTTCTCAACATCGTGTATCGTACACTTCAGAACCATTGGTGGAATGGCATCGCATTGCCGTTACCGATATAATAATAACTTGTTCAATTATTGATAATATCTATTTGTATTCAAGAGACATTCTCATTGGGCCTTTTTACCATACACACTCTGTTGATTCCAGTTTATCCTATACATGAATAGGTCCTGTCTTTGAACAGAGACCATTTCAATGCGTTCACTTATCTTGGCAAAAAGCGCTTACTCTTTTCGCAGACACCTGTGCCTACCATTCATTTCCATCTTGGACTTTGAGCAGACATTGATTTCAATCTTTAGACATCTGACTGTCATTTGCGCAGATATCTGGGTTTACCATTGATTTCCATTTTTAGAAATCTGAAATTGTAATTTGGGCAGACAGCTAGAACTACCACTGATTTACATCTTTAGACAACTGACTGTACCATTGATTTCCATTTTTAGAAATCTGAAATTGTAATTTGGGCAGACAGCTAGAACTACCACTGATTTACATCTTTAGACAACTGACTGTACCATTGATTTCCATTTTTAGAAATCTGAAATTGTAATTTGGGCAGACAGCTAGAACTACCACTGATTTACATCTTTAGACAACTGACTGTACCATTGATTTCCATTTTTAGAAATCTGAAATTGTAATTTGGGCAGACAGCTAGAACTACCACTGATTTACATCTTTAGACAACTGACTGTACCATTGATTTCCATTTTTAGAAATCTGAAATGGTAATTTGGTCAGACAGCTAGAACTACCACTGATTTCAGTCAAAGATATCTGGATTTTGGCATTTGGGCATACATATGTGTCTACCATTGATTTACATCTTTAGACATCTTACTGTGTCATTTGGGTAGACAGCTGGAACAACCATTGATTTCCGTCTCCAACGATCCAGAGGATGCCTGTATTAGGCACAAGTGTTTATGTATACCTTGATGTCAGCTTTGGCTTGTGGAGTGCAATGTGCATGGGTTTTCTCCGTTGGATCATGTCAGCTCATGTGTAATGATAATGCATGTTTTTGCTTACGCTATTGAAACTTTGTCAGCAGGATATTGAAGCATATTAATAAATTACCAATACTGGAAATATTTATTGTTTTGATGTTAACTCATTAAGTCGCTGAGAACATAAATACTAAATCATTAATTCTCAATAATAGAATTTTACCTGATAGAACCTGACCTAATGGAAAAGATAAATGTATAGCTGAAAGTATATTGTATAAAATAATTGTTTTTTTAGTTAGTTATAAATGTACAGAAACAAATGCAAAAAGTATGAATAGTCAATAGTACTGTATTTATCTGAAATTCGCTGAAGTTAACAATCGGGGGCAACAATCGAGATTTATATTCAAACTGTGGCAGCTCTGTATAGCCTTCCATTTAGCGTATGAGAGAGTTCGTCCCAAGAAGAATACTGTTAAAATATAAGAAAGAAAATCGTACGTTTAAATTAGTTAGAAATGCAGTGGGTGGACACACCATATTTCTGGGCACAAATGTACCTCCCTCAGCCGATATCTGGTGCATGAACATGCAAAGCTATTACGATCATTATTAATTAATAACTATTAATTGTAAAATATATTGGTCGTTAAATATAATATAAAACTTATTCCCATTAAAATGTGCTAAAAACGCGAAACATTTAATTTTTTTTTCATTTTGTTACAATTTATTTCTATTCATTTCAGGTCTGACACTATATTTATATGTCGCCACGCGAATTCATTTATTTAAAAATGTACATTAACATTTTAATTTCACAGAAATATGTAGGTCTTCATACTCTTTCTCGAACAAAAGATGACAATTTACGAGGAAGATGAAAAACAATGAACTATTCAGCATATTTTCCTATGAAAACTTGTATAATTCAACAATAGAAATTCTTTCTTTTACCGAGGATAAAAAATATGAAGACGATTAACGATGTTTTCTTTAGTCTTTGTTGCATTCTTTGGAGTAGCATATTCTGATGAACAAACTGACGCGACAAAATGGTAAGTACCATATAACTCGCTTTATTTTGGCAGCTCAATTTCATGGGCCGCTGTTAAGTGTTTATTTACACTGACAGCTTGTATTTCCCCCCACTAGGTCAGTTTCCGCTATCCACGAGCATCGTCCACTCAATTCTGATACAGTAATTACTTTTGTATTGAAGAATATTTTTATCTCCTTTCTAATAAGTTCACTTTAACGAAATACACTGATTGCTTGTATTTTCCCCCACTATATCAGTTCTCGCTATCCATGAGGATTATCCACTCAATTCTGATACAGTAATTACTTTCGTATTGTAGAATATTTTCGCTCCTTTTAATAAGTTCGCTTTCTAAGTTTTCAATATGAAGGTGCTGTGACTTAATTCTTATCATATCAGATATAGCAAAGAATGACCAAAAAGTTCATCATTGATGGATACAAACCATGTACATTGCCTCATATGAACAAGCATTTTTTCAGTAATATTTGAATAAAAATGCTTCAGAAATGGCTTAACATTATTGTGGTCTAGAAAAGTTAAAAATTATATACTGCCTTCCCTTGAACTTTTTAAACGCATTGAAGGGAGACAATTTGAAATTGTGACGTTGTAAAGTAACCCAAATATTCTTTTGTCTAACAAAAGTTTACCCTAACAAGTTTTCCACTACAATTGGAAAAAAAGGTTTTAGAATTTGGTCATAATTTTCCTGCTGTTGGAAGTTGCCAAGTGTTCGTCACATTGTAAAAACGACAATTGAAAAGTAATATATATATATATATATATATATATATACATACTTTTGACGATATCAAATTTTTCACATTATCTTGCCCTTAGATTTGTTTTTGAAGTATATTGCCAATTTCGTTTAATTGGGGATGGTTATTTTTTTGATTTTTTCCCATTTTGTTCGTCGCGAAATCTGAAAGTTATGACATAGTGATAATCAGATGTTACAATTTAGTTCTATTCGGCCCCGGTTGATGAATTTGTGCCAGTGACATAGTCCCTTTACAGTAATTAGCTGTTTGGTCTTTTCTTCTGCAGAGCACACTGTGAATTCACGCCATGATCGTTTCAAAGAGGTAAAACGCTAACGTTGTATACAAATGACTTTGTGGTAATATCTTAGTTTCAATGCCAGTGACCCAGGATTGGTACTTGGCGGCGGTATCAAGCGACACCCACCTTGGAACTTGGAAACCATATTGATTTACTTAATATCAACTGCCTCCATCCTATTTGATTGGCAGCTCGTATAAATCAAAAGCATCCAATCAATTTTCCACAAAAGAAAATGAAGTAGCCATATATCAATATCAATACGTGAACCACACGAACAAATTGAACATTGGGTATGTCGAAGAAGATCAAAGAAGGCGACCATTTTGTAATTTATGATAATGCTTCTATCTACATTCACATGGTCTCACAGATCGGTGTATATCGATAAGCGATAAAATATGATTTCGTCTTGAAAGGCCAGATATTTTTGTTTGATCCTGTGTAAAGCATGTTATTGGTCGATATGAACAACAAGGTGTCTAATGGACTGAGATAATGGGTTTTAAGTATGGACAATGACGGCTAGGTCTGTATTCTATTACATGAAAATATTTTACGAGCTGAAAACAAACAAGGAGATAGCCAATGAATTTTTAATATCAGGAAAAAAAACTTTGTATAAACATAAACTAAAGAATCTGCCTTTTATGCTGATGGTTGACATTCTTCTGAAATTATCGAGCAAGTTTTAATACGTCTGGAAATTATGTATGTATTCTGATTATATAAGCACCGCCTTCCTACCGTTTTATTTTAATTATTCATTTTAATTTGATTATATTAAAAAAAATTGATACCGTTCAAGGTGCCACACCCATTAATTTAAGCACTAGTGAATGCCATGCAGTTTTACAAGAATACTTTCTGGACATATGTTACAACTAACACATCGAAGACTGTCTACAGCGAATATAAATTGTATTTAAACTGCGTTTCCACAGGAAAGAAACAATGACTGAAATCAGAAATGGTCGAAATCCCTTCTCATAACAATGCTGATGTTGTTAAATTTGCTGTGATGACGCATGAATATCGCCTAGACAATAAACCCCTTTCTTATCATATGAAGCAAGGTTATTGCAAGTATCCGCAATGTAAGTCCTTAAAAATCGGTCTTATAAAAGAGTTTTTCATCATTGTTTTCTGTTTTCTAATCTGGTGATGGAGACTCCAAGTTTGGAATGTTAAAATTTGTCCTGTTTGTACTAGTAGTTCGACATATGTTTTCAAATTGGTTGGATTTTAAAAAAGAATCAGATAGCGAGTTAAAAATAAACCAGAATTTGTCCATCGACCTCGATCAGTGAAGAGACATGGATAATCCTAGCAAGCTTGAATGTCACCTTGCGACACGAGACATTTTAATTGAGACGAATTTACCACATTCAATCAAACAGATTAAGTGTTGCTCATAAACGCATAGTCTCGTGACCCAAGGATGCTTATCGGCCCACTTGAGATAAGCAGGTTGTAAAAGGAAATTTAATAAGCTAATGATGCCTCATATTATAACTAGTTAATTAGATAGAGATGGTTTATGATTGTTGATTCATAATGGAGTGATTAGCAACTATCAGTTACTTGTTCAATAAGATGAGTCTGAACCCCTACTCCAGGAATTGTCCTCTCCTGAATATTTGGGCGGTGGGGGCCAGTGGACCTGGTTCAACCCGTTCCTGTGGTAGTTGAGCCACTTAGTTCAAGACAATGTAATGCCTGATGCATAAATCATACTTTGTTTTTAAAAATGTTCTATGCTCTCTGTTGCACGCTATTTTGCACAAATAAAATCGTGAGCTTGATGCACAAGAAAATATAATTGTTCCAGTCATCTGATTAGTAAATCATTAACTCCGTATTTATTACAAACCGGAATTTATCTCCAGATTTTATAAGGTATTAGGGGTGAAATCCGACACGACCTACTCTTGGAAGCACAGGCATCAGAATTTTGCCTTTAGGAGAACTGGAACCCACGGCAACTAATCGCCTAGCTGAAGACAATCCAACTCGCTACCGACTGAACTATTCCACTGCAACAAAAAGACTGCGTTATCAAATCATAAGCTTATTTAATAAAAATTTGCACCAGGGTAATAAAAGCCAACTGCGATTGAAAATCCTGAAGCTTAAAACTATGTAGCATGCTAAGCTTGTTAAATACAAAACGCAAATTGGGGTGAAAGAACTTTACCAAAGTCACATCATTGGCATTCCATCAGCACCAACACACAACCTAGTATGAAATTGTAACCTCTTCTAGTAAATTGAAGTACACTATCGGAGATTGACCTTAAATAGTTAATAGTACAAGTAAGTAAAGAAAAAGTGATTAATTTTAAGTGGATATTCGTAATAAAATTATAATAAAATTATAAATATAATCCATAATGGTTTTTAATCTACACTTAAAAAAATTGAGAATGCCATTTAATTCACCTATTAATTGCTCACCATAAATTTACACGTTTAATGCTTGATTTAACAGAGGAACAAGAATCATATTTTTTACGGAAGGTTCCAGTCATGTACGTGAAACCAAATCAGCCTCCTTTTCTGCCCACAGTTGCTTCATTTAAATGATGGTCATGACAGTTGTCCCATATATTATACAATACCCGAGTCAGGTCATGTTAACTCTTAAGGCTAGTAACTGGCACGAGATAGCATTATCTCCAAGCTGGTAAATTACATTTAGATCCAATGACTAAATCCTTTGATCAGATGTTTTGGGTAAGACCTGTTAGAAACTGGCAGAAATAGTTTTCTAATGATAAACGCTATACTTTGGTTTCCTCATTTTGAGAGCTTAATAATGCAAAACATCATTATGGTAGGTTTTTAAAATCGCAGCAATATTGCTTCTGTCTATTACTCAATGGTTAATGCTCTTAGTCTTAAAACAATCCTACGATCCTACGTTAAATTCTTTTAATAGATTTTGAAATGCTTAGTTTCCTCCTGTCAGTCACTTATGCTGGTGATGGTGGACGAGCATCTTGTTTAGCGTGCTGCTGGTGGTTCACGTGAACATCCATCCACAATTGCAATTCGTAAAAAGAATGTAATCAAATTTTGCTCATAGAAACGGATCCTTTGAATATGGAAAATGCTTCGATTTCTTGAACGACTCTTTTGCATATTGCACATTTAGTTCTGAACGATCTGTATTCATTGACCTATGATTTATAATTCTGTTACGCACCGAATGGAGTCAAACGGACGGTAGCTGATATTGAACGAAATCTCGAACTGATTAGACCAATATTTATTCTATTAATCTGCTATGACAGTCTAATAGAGTAAAAGTTTGATAAAAGGCTTAGTGTAGGCTGTAAAGGTGTTTTTAAATAGCTATATAAGAATTTATAGCATGTCGTTGTCAGGTATTTCAGAAATCTTATCAACTCAATAGTCAACTTTCTGATCTCTTCAATGACTTTTCATTGCCTGAAGTCGAGACATTTTCATTTGACTGACATTCATCTGTCGAAATAGTACTTGATCTTTGAGTTTTTTGTAACGTTTATCACATTATCTAATCAATCATATCAAATGGATTAAAAAGAGATTTGGGTTTTGTCTGCTTTTAAAAAAAAACTAAAAAAATTTAGACCATGTTATTGATTTGTGCTTATGCCTCACATCTGTTGTTACCAAAATCGTATCGGTGTTGACAAAATTGGCGCAGTTTCTTATTGGCTTTGCTGATGGTTCAAATAGCAATTGTTACTTATGATTGCGAAGAGACAATTTTTTGGCATACTTCTTGTTCTTCCAATCTTGTTTTTGTTGGTTTTATTTGTCTTGGACTCTTTGAATAAAGATTGTGATACCTAGCACCATTATTTTCACAATGTCAAGCTATTACGAACTTCGTCTCATACCTTGAAAGCAATACAAGGTATTTTGAAGCTGAACATTGTGAAGATCGATCACCATGCAAAGGTGCATGGCCTCTCCATCCATCTCTCCGTCATAGTTTAATATGAGTCCAGCAAAATAAGTCTATAGTTCTCGCCTTGTAGCCAATAGTACAAATAGCTATTGGAAAATTACTGCAGTCTTGCAAGATATTGAATAACGTTGAATTTTTAGATGGAACGGTCAATCATGTGTAGTTTTTTTAAATGTCGAATTAAACGAAATTCTGAAACGGAAAAGTAGACCTAATTTTGAAATCACAGTTTTACCCAATTACCCCAATCAGTTGCAGAAAATTAGGATATAAAACTCCATTTCGTACATGAGACAGATGATTCAGAATATAGTGTCATGATCATGCAGAAAGTGCAAACAACTTATCATTTCAGACTGACATACCACAACCCAGTCGTTATAAACTGCTTAATGTATTCACACAGTTCACTGCCTGATATTCAACCCCTCTTCACTACTTGAAAACAATGACTTGGCGCTCTATTTCAATATCAAAACATAAGTAGTTTGTTTTCATTTTCTATCTCCATTTCATCTCGGATATCAGTTTGTCATGTTGACAGTGTACGGTGTCCCAAAGAACCAACTTGACTTGCCAAATACGAAATTCGCCCAATAATGTCAAATATTTTGATATCTGAGTAATTTGATAATCGATGAATGTATTGCTAAATAAAACGAAATCCGAGTTGGTCTATCGACACCCAGACTGAATAAAAAATTTTAGATAGTGTGAACTGGTTCTTCTATTTACGTTATCTACAATATCATTAGCTAGACCCACAAAAACCTTTCTGTATTTTTAACAATAATTACCTAGTCGGCTGTCCCATACAAGAAAGGTAAGCTCAATATATGCGAAATCTTATTCCGCTCCACGACTGGTGGTTTCTATATTGACAGCACTCAATGGCAGTCCACAGAATTACAGTGGCTGAACTTGATGAGTAGAGATCCATGAGCTTTGTGGGTTGAAGCCAGTCTACCTGTTAATAGCAGATATGAAATGAAATGAATGGAGCTTTTACATCCTACTTTTCTGCACAATGTGGGCTAATGAAAACGGCAAAGCCATGCAGGGAACGACGGAAATTTTTGCCACAACAGCGGCATTAGCCTGCTCTTTTTCGATTCCCAACACTGTCGAGGGGTCTTTAACGTGCACAGTCTGTAGCACACGGGGCCTTGGTTTACTGTTCCATCAGAACGACTAGACGCTTTTCCATGTCAGCCCCTCTTACCTGCATCACTGACAGGGGGAAATGAGATTTGAAGATTTTCTGTAGTTAATTTCACTCATATATATTTTGCCGATTGTTTAGCAATAGTAGTTGACATTGGGCATCATTTGATAAAATAAGGACATAATATTGCACTTCGTAGGGCCCCAGCATAAGCTGTGAACCATTTTATATTGTGTGTTAACCATTTAGACACTTACTTTGGTACATTTTTTCTGGAGTTGGAGGTCCTTGGACTTGGTTAACCAGTCTCCACGGTAGTTGGGGCATATCATTTTTCCATAAACTATTCGAATTGACACTGGAGGTAAAATGCAACCATTCGTTGATATATCTGTAGTGTATGTTCAATATATGGCACCTTCAATGAAGGTTGTGAAAACAACGCTTGGAAATCAAACATCCATTCAGAAAAAAGCTCTTTGCAATCTAATTGAAATTCCAAGGGAAACCTGTTAAGAAATATTAAATTAATGAGAAATTTTTAATGCGTAATCCATTAATAAACTCATACCTTGATTTCATTTATTATGACTACGTAACTGATTTACAACTTGCCTTCCACCTGCACAGGTTTCATTAAAACTGTGCTACTGTAAATTTAAAGTGGAATTTTTTCCTCGGTATGGCCAACACATATGTTACAAATATAAAAGCCCATAATAAAAAATTGAATTATTATATTAAGTTTTGGAACAATTTCAAAATGTCTGGTCATAGGAAGGTTAGGTCAGCCTCCTGGAGAATGTTCAAGATGGTACCGGTTATCATTCTTTGTTAAATCAGAGATCAATCTCATATAATACTTAGCCAAAGCCCCACACATACCATGACCTTAATGGAAGAAAATGAGATGCAATATGCCGATATGAGAAAGTTTTTCTAACTGCGGAGGGAAGTAACCATTTTAGAAGGTTTGGGTTGCTTCTCCTATCGACTATATAGGAACAGTTCTTTTCGTATGCTATGTTAAGGACAATTGGTTCACTGGGTATGGGTAAAGGAGGTCATATTATTTGAGAGTAATCGCTGGATGAAATCGACTGAAAACGCCTTTGTTGCGTGTTGCTGCATTAAATTTTGGGTCTTTCCGTGGACGTAAGCGGTTGGTTACATCGTTTGCATTTGTATTAAGTCTATCAATTTGTCTACTTAGACAAATATGATGATATTTTTTTTATAGGATGTCGACCTAAGCCCTAAACCTGATGATATTTGGTCGAAATACTTAAATTAATTCACATCAAAAACAACTGCAATAATGTTATGGTCATGAAACATATAAATAATTTGTGTTTCAAAGGATAGAGAACAGGAAATATACCCCTTGTTAAAATTCCAATTTGGATGCTATTAAATCTATATCAAGCTCGAGCAAGCGATTTATTCTCTGCTAAACATGGAGGTAAAATGGCGATTCAAAGGGTTAAAATATTTGCTCTGTGGCATACCATTTAGTAAGGAGCAGTGGTTGATGTATTTTAATTGAATAATACTCATGCATATTAATGCGCTATGACACGACATTTTCAGTGGTACAATGCTGGGGGATATACCACATGACAGAGATCGAACGTCTTTGATACTCCTTCACTTGTATGTATGCAGATATTTTAGGTTCGGTAAAATTCAAAATATAAATGAAAAAAGATATCCAATTTTCACAGAAAATGTCATATTATCTGTTTGTCTAGGAAAAGCAAAGGTATAAATGCAATAGAGCCATCTGTCCTGGCGGTATCTGAAGAGCTTTAGATCTGGATTGTTTACATTCCGACTATTTGAAGTAATTAATATCGCGTGGTTCTTTCAAGAGAAAAAAAAAGCAGAAGTCTCTCTTCAATTGGCGTGTTTCTGTAATCATGTTATTGTAATAAAAGTTTGTTTAACAACTTCTAAGGGAACTTTTATTAGTAGTCCTGCGTTTTATTTCATCAGAAAAAATAAATGTTCAGTTTTATAGTGGGGTGGATTTATTCTACAGATTGGCCAATATTTGGCTGCAAGAATTAATGATTTTCATGCTTGATGGAATATTACAAGTATATAAAGTCTAATGGTGATTGCTGGCACCATGCGAAATGGAAGAAAATGACGATTAATTTCAATCTGAATGCCACTTTCTTCTTGATGATGATGATGATGATTCAAGTTTTCTGAATCACTTGTGAATTATGGACGCATGGTGTCGGTATGAAGTCATCTTCAGTTTATGGTAAGTGGATGATTATGATTAATGTACAGTCTAAGATCACAAATGATATCTCAGTCAATTAGAACGACAAATTTGCCTTGTGCTATAGTTATTTAGAACAATTTTTTAAGAATGCTTTGTGGAAATTCATGAAAATTTGAGAACTAAAACATGCTTGATTCAAGAAAGTGTAAGTGCCTAAAAATAATGGAGCATCATTCTTGTGAATGCAAGCTCAAATTTGAAGGACGAGTAAGCTTACATAACATCTTCAATTTTGATACAAATTTAAAGAAAAAGTATAAAGAAAAAATTTCACTTAAATTCGTAATAAACAAGTATTTTCTCTTTGAAATATTGAGAATGTTTTCAATTTATTTTAAATTTATTGATGCAGGTTATATAATTACACGGGGAATATATTACGACATCAAAAGTTGTAATTATTCTAACGTCTTATCTTTTACCTACATTGATGTGTTTGATTAAAAATTGTAATGGACTTTTTCTAACTACTTAATACTTTGCAGTTTGTTATCTTTTGAAAATGTGCAATCTGCATGTGGTTCTACTCTTCAAGTTGAGAAATAAACAACCATTTTGAATACATCATAAATATAATTTAGGGGTATCCGAATCCAATGGTTATGTGGGTCAAGACGTTCCAATACACAGGACATACAATTTCCCCTTTTTGCAAACATAAAACGAACGAAACATTTATAAAAGATTTTTACCGGTATCAAAAGTTTGCATATTCTTGATTTTACTCTTTACTTCAAGTGACCCCTTTTAAAAAATGACTTAAAATGTTTACGATTACATACATGTACTTGCCTAAATCGACTAGTTGTTCGGGTAGCAATAAATGTTATAATAAAATAAACCTTGCAATTTCATACAATATTACCTCTTTGATCTTCATAACCGCTATTCATTTGTTTCGATATACGAGTTAAATCTTCCTTAATAACCAGTTTATAGTTAAAAATTGTCTTTCTGTTCTACTTGTGCTCCAAACTATTTGGGATTAATTTGTTTTTTGTCCTGGCCATGATAATAAGTTTATTAAGAACTTCTATCAAGGTCTAACTAGAAAAATTTTGTTTATGTCATAATTGTTTTTGAATACGAAAACGGGACATAGGTCGTCGCATTGCAAAATTATGCAGTGAGTTTGATTTTTACCTCTAAAAAGAAGATTTTGCAGGAAAACTTATTGAACCAACGTAAAAGTTCTATCCTCCTATTATCAAGAAATGTTGGAATAAATAACATATTGTACATGATAACTATATGTTGGAAATAAAAAATCATATTGTACATGATAACTATATGTTGGAAATAAATAGCATATTGTACATGATAACTATATGTTGGAAATAAAAAATCATATTGTACATGATAACTATATGTTGGAAATAAAAAACATATTGTACATGACATATTGTACATGATAACTATGCATAATAGAATAATAAACATAATATGTACATGTATTTTTAAAAACAAAGAAGCTTTTTGTGGAGATATTTTCATTGATTTATGTATGTGTTTGCTTTTAAAAAGTTTTTGTTGATTTTAGCATGTAATTTTCGGTAATTCTTAGGATTTTTTTTATAAACCCGAGGCAGGTTACCGAGAGAGGTTCGTTCGTTCTCCACATAATATAACAATGCTGTCATTTGGTTGGTAGGAGTCTGGACATGGAAACGTATATTTACTTCAAGTTTACTTGTCATTGTCAGATAGTAGGGAGATGAAGTGTAAACAATCTGACATCTTTATAGTTTTCTAGCTGACTGATCTGACTGTAATCAAGTGTGAAACGTTACACGGTTCATTGGACATAAATCACTCGCTTTTTCTTATATAATATTTACACGAATAACTGAGCGATATAATAATGATATATTAATATGGCTCGTCAAATATCATTAGAACGTATTATAAATCTTTCACCTGTTCACTCTTATCTCTTGTGTCTTCAAACAAGGACCAGGCAGATACGACAAGAAAATCAAACCCGAAACCAAAACAGGTAACCGAAAAGTCCTCAATAATCATCTCCCTACAGGTTATGCTAATTGAATCGGTCCCAAAGAGTTTCAGGGTTTTATGGATCTAGATTTCCAGTTGTTCAATGATATCTTTAGGGATCGAAAATAAGAACCCAAGATGCTAAGGGTTTCTATACATGTCGTATTTGAAAGATATCGCTGGATTCTATCCAAAGAAATATGCGTTTAATAATTGCAGAAAACACAGTCTTTAAATTATTTTAAACTTAACAAAGATCTAAATGATACGCTTTATCTCGTGTAAATTGGTACGGTTCATCCAATAAGACATTGAGATGAGATATATTTTTCTGCTCACTGACGATTTTACTTTTTCTTCTTATCTTTACAATGCACAACCCTAAATTGGTTACAGCAACATGCCTGTGTTAGTGCTTTCGTAACACTAATCGCAACGTTCCAACCTAATATTCCTAAATTCAGTTTATGAATTCAATCTGCTGTCTGAAGTTTTGGAAGCTTTCTTGTAGACTACAGACATTAACTTCACTTCATTTCATTTCATTTTAAAGAAGTATTCTGAAGCTCATAATTTCAAGCTGTAAATTTCATCATGGCTGATTTTTTTTTGTATTAAATTGTATCAACTTATTTATTTGTTAGCGTATTATTATTCCCTTTCAGGGAAAATGCATACTTGTGATAATTTCAAAGAAACGGGACAAACTGACAAACGTGTTTTAAAAATTTTGAAATATTAATCCCTCTATGAAATATTGTCATATGACAATGACAAATCAATCGGTATACATTAATTACTAAAAATCAACATACATTTCATTTCTGACATTAATGTGAATTGTTGTGAAATAGTTTATTTTATGGTATTTGTATGTAGGGTTATGTACAGCGTGACCCACTTTATAATTGTGTTCGATCACATTCGAATTGATCTGGAATATCCAGAAGACTTCACTGGAAATCTGTGACTTCTTTGCGATCATTTTTAACATGCTTTACGACTGGAAATTTGTAATTTACTTACACTTGTTATATTGCT